AACTGGCTTAACCGGCTAAACGAACTGCTGGCCAACGAAATCGCCATTAAAACTCGCTGCAGCAGCTCAACATCCGGCCGAAGCATTCCCCCGAAGCGCGGCTTCGTTTTTGCTGCGATCCTCCACTTCCCCTCGGCGGATGTCATAGACAGGGCGGAAGTCTCTTTTTGTTTTTATCCTTTGGTGCTTTCCTAGTGACGTTGTTGCTTACTGATTATCTGCGATCCATCTTAAACATGGGACTCGGATCTCTCAGTATATATAAGTTCCTCCACCCCGCCAGGCACATCCCCGCTACATACCTACTTAAAACATCTACCTAGGTACTTACATGAGGGAGCCGGGATAACTAGTTGGTGATACTTCAGAGCCACCTTGCCCGCCGCAGCCAGCGTAGTTAGATTTATATCTGCCTGCTTCACTTTTGTTCCTCGCGACCGGCTGTGGCTTAATACAACGGACAATATATTACTACATACATTACAAGACACACCGATGGCCCCCCACGCTGCTGCTGGTGCTGGCACTGCCGGCGATGCGGCTCAGAAGGCCGTCGTCGAGGGGACGCTGACCGTCGCCAACGTCGCCGCCAACAGGACCAGGTGTGCCCTCCCCAAGGGTGTCGCCGCCTTCTCCGACAGTAGCATGTTCAAGAGCGCGGTAAGTCCTCTTCCTCTTGTGTCTTGCCTTTGGTGTCGTCGCCCAGTGGGAATAGCCGGCTTACCCGTACATACACCCGACAGGCATCAGCGTCACAGCCGAAAGCGAAGAGATGGGACCGTGAGTGATGAGCCAGCTGGCAGACACCCTCAAGGAGCGCTTTTTACTGACTGGCTCGGGCTTTGACGGGACAGGCTACCTTACCGAAGAGAGCAAGCTGCGAAAGGTCCGTCTTGACGTCCATCAGTCCTTTTCTTTAACCAAGTAACTGCTCCGTATATTAAATTAGACTGCGGCCACTGACCTCTCTTGCAGCCCTCGACCCTGAAGCAGGTGGCTCTCTACATGGGCCCCAGTAAGTTTTAACCTCTCTCCCATTATTAAATCAGGGGGGGGGGGGAAGGGGGATACCTTGAGGATCAAGCTGACGCCAATAATAGATGTGATCTCTCTTGGAGGTGGCCTGCCGTCCCAGGAATACTTCCCCTTCCACGAGATCTCCGTCAAAGCTCCCAGCCCTCGCCAGTTTGCAGACCCGGCCCCGGCTAATCCCGAGTGTGTCTTCTCCTCCACCAAGCATGATGTGGTAGACGGAACGAGCGAATTCGACCTCGAGGTGGCTCTCAACTACGGCCAGTCCGTCGGATACGCTGCTCTCGTGCGATGGATCACCGAACACGTCGAGGTACGGACAGCCTTTACCATTTATCTCGAACACTCTGGAAACTCTCGCTAATGTAACTAGATCGTTCATAACCCTCCATATGGCGATTGGGAAATCACCATGGCTCCCGGGAGCACGCAGGGATGGGACTTTGTTCTGCGCATGCTCTGCAAGCCTGGCGACATGATTCTCACGGAAGAATACACTTTCTGCTCGGCCATGGAGGGTGCCGCTGCCCAGGGCGTCACCCCCTTCCCCGTCAAGGTCGACGCCGAAGGCCTCCTCGCTACCTCTCTGGACGAAATCCTCACCAATTGGGACCCGGCTGCGCACGGCGGTGCTCGCAAGCCAATCGTGCTCTACACCGTCCCCTCCGGCCAGAACCCAACGGGCGCCACACAGAGCGCCGAACGACGCAGGGAAGTCTACAAGGTCGCCCAGAAACACGACATCATCGTCGTCGAGGACGAGCCATACTACTTCCTCCAGATGGAGCCCTACACGGGGCTCAACACACCCACCCCTCCACCGCCAGCAACCACCGACGAGTTTCTCAAGACACTCATCCCTTCATACCTCAGCATGGACACAGACGGGCGCGTCATCAGGCTCGACTCTTTCTCCAAGGTGATCTCCCCCGGCTCTCGAGTCTCTTTCCTCGTTTCCTCTGCCCAGTTCACAGAACGCATGATCAGGCAGGCAGAAACTTCCACCCAGGCTCCCAGCGGAATGGCTCAGATCATACTCTACAAGCTCCTAGACGAGTCATGGGGCCATGAGGGATATCTCAAGTGGCTCATTCACATCCGCATCGAGTACACAAAGCGCAGAAACTGCATCATGGATGCCTGCGAGGAGTTTCTACCCAAGGCCGTGGCGTCCTGCAACCCTCCGACTGCAGGCATGTTCGTAAGTTTTTTCTCCTTTTCCTTCGCGCCCAACCCCCCCCCCCCCCAACCCTTCTAACCCCTAATCCCTGTCCCCGTTCCCGTTCTTTGTTGCCTTCCTCCCTTAGGAGCGAACATAAGAGAAAAAAACGAACAACACAACAGCAAAAAGGCTAATATCCCTGCAAGAACTGGATGCGGGTTGACTGGAAGAAACACCCTGCCTACCAGCAAGGAAAGGACCACAAGGCTATTGAAGAAATGATTTTCCTGGCCGCCGTCGATGCTGGTGTCCTTGTTTCACGCGGAAGCTGGTTCTTGGCCGACCAGTCGGCTACCGAGGAAGACATGTTCTTCAGGTCGACTTTCGCCGCTGCCCCGGCAGACAAGATCAGGGAAGCCATCAGGCGGTTCGGCGAGGTCCTCAAAGCCCAGTTCAACATCTAGTAGTAGCCAAGACTCCGCTGGCCTTCTCTTCGTGATCCTTCAATTGACGAGGTGAGTACGGAGTAGGTACATAAAACTTGTTCCTTCGTTCAATATGATTTTAGGGCGGCTTGATGTTGTTTAACCAGTTACTCCTGCCGTTAGTGGTCTATAGACTGTGGCAAGTTAGTTATGCCGTAGATTCTTCCAGGTCGTGAGCCGTTAGCACCCTTCTGTACATGACTTAGATCGAACAAAAAAATTGAAAAGAAATAAGCCATTCAAAAGCAACCCCTGTCTCCTTTCTCTTCTAGAAAAGCTGTACCTTGGATGGATTGGATTGGTTGGAACGGTTGCACCGCTTAGTCATCCCGTATAAACACTTTCTCCGTCCTCCGTCGCGTCCCAAACAGGCAAGATCCAACATCATCGTCCAGACGTCAGGCCTCAAGCCCAACCTCGACTCCATCTCAAACTATCAAATTGCGATACCCATTCCTTCACGCTGTCGACACTCGCTCTGTAGCAATAGATGGCGTTGTGGGGCGTTTTCTGCAGGGAGGTCTTAACAGCCTCCGCTTTCTTAAGCTTACTTTTCTTGCCTTAACGTTTTAATCTTCCCTGTTGATACCCTACTTCCTTTCTTGCTTGCTCGCTGGTCTTTCGACGTTGTGATCTTTTATTTCCTTCGATTTCATAGGTAAGAATGGAGATATCTATGCTCGTGGACATGTGTATTGGCCCGTCGAGAGACCCTTTCCTTTTGGTAGTTGGATTAGCCGTAATTTTTTTGGTGCTCTATACCCATTGTAAAGAAAATCTCCTTGTTTATTGCATGCCTGGGCATACGGCCCTGGCAGGCAATAAATAGAGATATTTAGATATCCTCAGCCTTATTGGAATATTATATATACCCCTTTTCCTCGATTTATGGCTACTGACGTTGATATCGTGACAGTTTCTTTCATTCCATACCTTCCTAGCCGGTGGCAACTCTCGTTATATACCTAATTCATTTCCACCTACGAACAAAGGGACATATATACCTAGCCTATCTCATACCTTTATTTGTTGCGAAGTATCGACAGCCCTCTCTAGTATCTTTCTCGCAGGGCCATCTATCTACCTATCTGGTTGTCCCAAGGGTCTAGACTGGTTGATTTTGCTTTTGTTGACATCTTTTTTTCCACGCTAACAAATGGCGCTAATATGAATCTGGATAGGCCCTTATACCATTAGAATCACCTCTGTATAAAAGTCAGACACTGCTTGTCGAGCTTCTATATAAGGGGTTATTAGAGCAGTGAGTCTCTTGCCCTGGAATCTCCCGATATCCAGCCTAAAGATGGCAGGGACTGTCACATACTGCTACTAGGTAATAGTCTAGCAACTCTTGAGACCAAAATATCCCTATAACCACTCTATACCAGGGGTTATTTAGATTTATCTTGTGGTGGTGAATATAGATAATCGACAGGTTCTGTCGTAGTCTTGCACTTCTGCAGTTTTGTAGGTGCTCCCTCTGTTTACTTTTCCAGTCACGTTGTCTCTTTGCCTCCCTTCTTCTCTCTCTCTCCCTCTTCTTCTCCGCGCAATATGAAAATATTTCTCTCTTTCTCTTATCTTTCTCCCTTCTTCACACCTTCTTGCCCTTTTCTGGCTCTTCTTTCACCAGATTTGTGTACTTCTCTGTGTTTAGCTCTGTCCACACCATTATATGTGCTGTGTGATTTGGTAGCTTTGATATTACTCGTCCTATATCTGCTGTTGCCGCAGCAAGATGGGTTCTTCCGCTGACGAGAACGCACAAGCGCGCGATGCACCCTGGCGGTACACTTTCTTTTACATTTGCTCACTTTATTATACTCTCACTATTGCCATTGACTAATTCTGGATGATTCTATAGTGATATTCCAAGTCCTTTACGCGCCCGGGGTTTTACTGGAAGCAGGGAGGACATCCAAGCTGCCAGTGCATATCTCTTCTGCAGCGCAGCAGCAAGACTTCAGCAACAGAACCTCGATAGGGTTGAGGAGACTGTTACCAATCCGGCTGCTTCTGACTCTGCCTTAGCTCAGGCTCCCAGAACTCAGTACCCTGTCCCGCCACCTCTGAGAGAGCGTGACCTTAACGAAGGGAATCCTGAAGTGACATCTTACCTCCAGTCAGAGAGCTACGAGGAATTTTCTGCTCAGGCCAATCCAATTGATAATACTCAGTACATCAGCTCGTTTGAAACTTATCACTCGAACAATTCGCATCCTACCTTTGCATCCGGCCAGGGTCCTCACCCCGATCCTAGTTTCAGTACTCCTTTGCCCTCTACTAGGTAAGTTTTTTTACTATCATCGCACTGTTATTTTCGCGTACCTTTCTCTGATCCTCGTGTATAGGCTCCCAGAGGAAACCACTGTTCCTCAGAACACTCCAACTTCGCACCATCATCAACCCAATCGGGTCGTGGACCCAAAGCCTGTCAGGGAGACCTACCGTGCAGTCCCTAGGCCTCGCGAATCCCAGGTACCAACTTCCTCAACTCACAAGTTTGACCCTCATTCGCGTCCTTTCCCCCTTAGACGCGTCTGCACGACAGAAAACTACCACCATCACGAGGCCCAGCCTGTAAAGTCTTCCAGATATAGACAATACCCACGACCTCAACGCCTCTACACCCGTGGCGAATTTCAAGCGAGGACTAGTGAGATCCTGAAACACGACAACGCTCCAGGCGGTCACAACGATTTCGACCCCGATTTCTCGAATCGCAAGCCAGCAGGAACGTCGACTCTCAAACAAGTTCGCTCATTCCCCGATCCACGTTCCCTTACCGATCCTTTACCAAAGTCGGGTCGCGATCTTGAACCTAATAACAGACAGCGTTCTTCCACCGCACCCAAGAGATCCCAACCTCATCCACCTAAAAACAAACCATACGAGTTCAAAACTGACTCATTTCCTCAACCACACCATTTCTCAACCCTCAACCCCAAATCTCCATATAACCCCTTGAACTTCATCCCTGGTGGGGTCAACTCGTCTGGCTATCTTTATCTCCCAAGCCCTGCAAGCCAACCGGCTGCGCGATCCGAGCCGGATCCAGCCCCACCAGGCGACGTTCCAGCCGAATTCCGAGCATTCCACGCTCAGGGAGATTTTGGCTTCGCTTTCAATAAGCCTTGTTCTGCTGAACCAACACCTGAAACTCGTCAAGCTCCTCCTCGCCCTATCTTTCGTCTTGAACTCCCTTCCTCTCAGGAGATCAAAGATCGGAAGCGAAAGAAAAGCGGAGCTCGGAGATTTACTTCCTCTCTTAAGAAGTTGTTCTTCCGCAAACCCAAGTCAGAGCCCGAAAATACCACCGCTACTTTGGCCAACGCAGAGTATTCGCCCGCACCAAAAGCCGGAGCGACTTCCAAGAGCCGTCCTTCAGCAATCGCACGTGGGCGATTTAGAGAAGAACTAGGTGAAGCTGATTCTACACAGGCTGCCCAACTTGAAGAACAGCTTAAGGGCGTTGATTCAGCGCAAGCTGAACGCTTCGAAGAACAGCTCAGAAAGCCGTTGATTACAGTCACTGTTGATCCACCACCTGAGAAAGACAGCACACCCCCCCGGGATACGCCCAACATGTTTTCTACAGGTCATCTTGACCCTTCGTCGGCCGTTATGGCTATCACCAAGCAAAAAGCAGAGGCCATGCGACTTGCCCGAGAGCAAGGCTTTATTGTCCGAGAGATGTGCCGTCGGGCAAAGACAGATGTTCCTCCGTACACTTTTGAAGAATTGATCGGAAAGGGCTCCTATGGTCGTGTCTATAAGGGGTTTGTATTCACCATTTTCATTACTGTATGCATAATGAATTACTAACAATGTATAGCCACCATGCTATAACTAAATCTGTGGTTGCCATCAAGGTCATGGATATTGATAACCTTGACTACGAAACTACCAGAGACTTCAAAGATGAATCTATAAAGGACTTCATCCATGAAACAAAGGTCATGTCTCAGGTAAAGGAAGCCGGGGCGAAGAACATTAACATCTTCATCGAGGCAGTTTCAATTCACTCCCAACTCTGGCTTGTTAGCGAGTATTGTCCAGGTGGAAGCATCAAAACCCTGGTAAGTTAGCCGACACAACTGTACCGTATTTTTATTCTAATGCCCCGTTCAATAGATGCGTGCAACTGGTGATAAGTTGGAGGAGAAGTTCATTATTCCCATTGCTCGAGAGGTAGCTGTGGGTCTGAAGGCGATTCATGACGCTGGTATCATACACCGAGATGTAAAAGGTAACTGTGACATGGATATTTTATGTTCGTCGTTCCCCTAGCTAACTTGTCTGCAAAATAGCTGGCAACATTTTAATCCATGAAGAAGGAAACATCCAAATCTGTGACTTTGGTGTTGCAGGAGTTCTCCAAAGCCAGCGTGACAAACGTTCGACCTGGATTGGCACCCCCCATTGGATGCCACCAGAGCTGTTTCCAAATAAGCCCGGTGATGAAGTTCATCCTTACGGCAACGAGGTTTGTTATCATGTGAATATACCTTTTTGGATATCTATATTAATGAGCTGGCTCTAGATTGATGTTTGGGCGTATGGTTGTACCCTTTTCGAATGCGCCACAGGCAACCCACCCAACGCTACCTTGAGAGAGAGAATGCAGATCGGCCGCCAACTTAACCGTTTCACACCGCGGCTCGATGGAGAAAACTACTCGGAAGAATTATGTGGGATTGTCTCTTACGCGTTAGATGCCGATCCAAGAACCAGACCTGCTATGGGAGACATCCTGAATCATCCCTACATCGCTGGTTCCGAACAGTCTCATCCTACTGAAGGGTTGAGAGAACTGGTAAAGATTTATTACCAGTGGTCTCAGCGTGGAGGCCAGCGTATCTCGCTTTTCAATCCTGGAGGTGCGGTTGCAGCCGAAATGCCTGGAGCTAGAGGACCATTAGATGACGAAGCCTGGAACTTCAGCACCACTGAAGGATTTGAAAAGAGATTCTCGATCATTGATTTGGACCAGATATCTGCTTCACTTGCAGCCCTGGAAACCGAAGAGTCTCTAGAGCCGAATTATACCTCCTTCGATCAATTTAACATGGAACCCGAAGAGAGAGAACTCACAGCAGAGGAAAAAGTTAACTTTGACGAGAGAGTCAAGAGAGGCGCTGCCGCTATGGAGGGGTTATTCGACGAAGCAAAGCCGAAGTACAAGTATGAAACTAAAAATGACTTCGTGCCCATTGAGCAAGCGCGCAAATTCAATGACTTGCCATTGAGAACTGATACGGATAGATCTTCCGTCGCCTCTACCTTCATTGACATTAACCTTGGAGTCTATGACTCTTCTCATTATGCATCTGCCTCTGGATCTGCTAACCCTCCATTCCAGCTAGCTGACGCCGACACGATTCGTGCTAACCGATCTAGCAGCCGATCGTACCGTGCCTCGTCAAGCGCAGGTAGCGAGCCGCATGACGAATTCCCACAAAACCGCGGTCCTCGTCCTCCAACAATGGATTGGAAGTTCCCGACCACAGCTACAAGCATCGAAGAATCCGAAAGCCCTGAGCTAGCTGATGACGAGATTGCTCCGCATGATGCCGAGCCTCTTGAGTCGCGAGAGGAGAAGCGAGATACCAGAGCCTGGACATTTCCTATTATGACTGCCGAAGAAGATGGACCAGGGGAGGAACCTATTGATGAGACAGCCCACGTGGAAACTCCTGGTGCATGGAGCTCTGATAATGAAAGCACAACTGCTCAAGCAATGTTTCCACTTCAACATTCACCCTCTGTTCTCAATAGGACCATCGGCAAATCCGACGCCATCCCAAGAGGAAAATCTCCATCCGATCACCACGGGCTTGCCTCTGAATCGCGTCCATCCACTGCAGAGTCAAAGCAATCTTCCGTCTCTGATGCAGACTATGACCCATTCAGATTGGATAGAGAGGGTTCAGTTAGCGGTCCTACAACTAATACCCAAAGACGAGGTCTAGCAAAGGCTCCCCCGATCAGAGAGCCAGGCTATCCCTATTTCCCTCAAGATGATGAGTACGGTAATAGCCTGACTAGATCTAATATCACTAACGGCTTTGAAGAACACCACGTCTCCAGCTTGCCAGAAAGCGTGACCCTCAGAAATGGAAGTGCTACAGCAGCACCCGTCTCCCGCTCTGACAGCTCATCCATGTACTCCCAGAATGGAAATAGCAACGGCAATATTAGAGGGTCACTTAATGCTACACCGGCAGCAGAGAACAGCAGTTTAACCCAGTTTCCCGAATTGAAACCTCCAAGCATCGAGAGTCTGACAGAAGGCGCCAGCGATGAAGTGGTCACTGCAGAGCTTGACAGGTTGTTTGGAGAACTCATGCACGGACTTGCTGCTACGGGTGAGGCAATCCAGTCCACGGACTCTGCCAAAGCGGGAGAGAGTGATGTGCGACCAGGATCACCATGATATGAAAGGAAATGAACACGAAAAAAGTCAAGGCGCGAAAAAGTTGTGAAGGAGTACTGGAAATCGTGGTTTTGTTATGGAGTATGGATATCCTGTTCGCTTACCGTGGGTGGGGATGGGTGGGTGGACTATTAATTCTATCGTTCTTTTAATTTCATTCTCACCCTCACCCTTGGTTCAAAACATAACCTTACAATGCGCTAATGGTAGATGCCGCATTTATATTCTTCCCCTGTATATACCACCGACCCTATTCTATACGGTCGTGTCGGTTTCATCTTAAGGCTTTTGATGAAATGAGCCAATTGATGGGCACAGGCGATATGTGACGAGTCGATGATTGGATGCCTGGAGCTTGATACAAGAATAAAAGCAAAAGCAAGGCCCTAGCACAACTGTGATATGCTTTCATTCTGTTCAATCAATCAATCAATATATTCAATTGTGGCCAACTGGCTCGAGCTTACGTAAGCCAGGAGCCCTTCGACTTCAGCTTCCAACGACCATCTAAACTATTAATATCAACATCTATCGACAACAACACCGAGGTCATAATCATCATGTCATAAGAACAGCCAGCTACACCACAGAGGACGTTTCGTGTAGCATCGACCGGACAGGTGCAACGTGGACGCCGCTCGGGTATACAGATGCGTGCTTGGGCCGTTTCTTATCTGCCTAATAGTTCAGTGCTCTCGTGTCTGTGGCTGTGAGAGTAGGAAAGTTGTGCAACTCTGGCTGGCTATCGGAGCCGGTTTATACCAGTCCACAGAGCAACGGAACTCGACGATAAAATATATAAAACTACGAAATTGATCGTCATTGTAGTTTATTTCCTTGATCTCCCGAACATATCGAGTTAGGGTTGAGGCTCGCTCAACTCTTAATATGTTCAATATCAGATTAAATGGGCCTGGCTCAAACGCTCGGATGTCGACCCGAGATCGAGATCGGTCTCTCTATTTCCTGCGTTTCTTTTCTTTTTCCTTTCCTATTTTGTCCCCCTTTTTGCTTTCAAGGTCAAAGCCACTCACTATTTGACTGGATTACGATATCTCATAACTACCCGACGAGTCATTTGACGTGTTGTATATCTTGGCCGGAAGGCAATCTATCCCGCTCTGGATTATCATCTTATATAACTTCTTTTATACCCTCGTTCGATTTTAGGACGACATTTGAATATGAATTTTGTCTCTAGTGGATTTTGGGTAGAAGGTGTGAGACACTATAGACGTTGATGTTAGGCTCAAACATATAGGAATACTGTATGTTCGAACTAAGAAAAGCCATAGAGCTCTCTTTACCTTTTTTTTTTTTTTTTTTTTGGCCGTTGCCTTTTGTTATCATTGTTTGCTGTTTACTTCAGTTGACGGGAAAAGGCGCGCTATTCTAGGTCCTTGATTAGGCGTCGCGACCTACATCGAAACCTTTCTGTGTCAAATCTCGATCCATGACTTCAAACTCACATTCTTTTCTTTCCCCGTCAGCATTATGAATGAAGGAACGTTCTCGGTTAATTACCATCCATCTCTAGATTTTTATTGATTCATTGGCCTTTTGTATGCATTTCTGAGGACTTAAGACTACGTCATGTCGGTTGGAATTATGACCCCTCCTTCTCCAAAGTCTCGTACAGCTACGAGGATACTCTCGAATCAGAGCGAGCAATGGAAGCTTTCTCTTCAGGAAGTCAAATTGCTTCATCTAAGATGCCGCTACAAGCAATGCGCTGCGCGTTCCATAGAAGTTTTGACCAAATACGAAGACCAGGTTCGTAACGCTATCATAGCCCCCTAGACCTGCTCTGCAGGAATCATTGCTAATCAAGCAAACGGCCAACACAGCTCCATAAAATCCACGAAGCGTACTTCCAATACTACATTGCAGCGTCATACGAAAATCTAGGACGAGCCTCTCACGCCTTTTCTGGGAATAAGATTCCCCTTCTACGAATTGCCATGGATAGTTTCATAGCTTGCAAATCTTCTTTGGAAAGTGCCTTTACAGGTCCCGCGCGGACTGAGGAGCCAGAGCCATTTCCTGATCTTAACAATGCGGTTGGTCGATACCCTGAATGCGGGCCTTATGTTGCCAGTCAAGGATATATATTTTACCAGATTGCACGGGAGAACTCACGTCCACCTGCTCTTTTCCAGGTCCGATGTTGTAATGAACCAAGTTTGGCAGGGACCCAAACCCGCGCAAAGAGAGGAGGGAGGCAATGTATCGATGTCAAGGCTGACCTGATTCCTCAGCCACTTCAGATCCGCAAGAACCGCAAGGATGTCATGCCGCAGTACAACCAATCTTATAAAAAGCCTTTTGCTACTACATCTGGAAGACCTCTCCCTGAGCCTCCCATATCTATCTCCGTCAGTCCTGCACCAGAAGCTATTAACGGCACCGCAGCGTTCACACCACCTCCAACTCCAAAATTCATGGACAGCTCTCCAGAAGAATTAGAAAGTAAGGAGAAACCGACACCACGTATGATGAGCCTGATTGCCTCACTTTCCTCTCAGATAGATGAAAATGTCAGGGAACTGTCACTGTTCATCAGCAGAACAATGGAACTACAACGTATCCATAAAGCTAGGAAGATGAATCGTCTGGCTTCCTACTGGAGTTTCACACCTACATATCCAAACGGGCCATCTACCATTAATGGAGATACCGGGGCATACGATGCGCAGCATGACCCGTGCACAAATGGAAGGACTAGTGGACAATCTACGCTCTCCGGTGAGGGTAAACAGCAGCGTATTGCACGGCTGAAAGCTGAAGGATGGAACACAGTTGGTATCAAGTCAATTGAACGCGGTTGGAAGGGAACGCTCCACTATGACAGACTCTGCAGTGAAGCCCTTTCGGAGCTATATGAGTCCTAGTCGGGAGTCCAAGCTTGTTTGTCTCTTCTAATTTTTTTTGTATGGGAATGAAGATCATTTCCCCCGGTATTTATTATTTGGCATCATGGTTTATGGTTTATATTCCTGGAAATGGTCATGGCGTCCTGGTGGTGTTACCATATCTTTAGGGCAGAGGAAGCATGGGAAGGGGGTTGGCTATGAGCATACTTATCACTTACACATTTCTATCACTCCCAATAAGCAGTTAATGAAACCAATTGAACCAAGGAATTATTTTTTTTAAGACCTCGTAAAAGCTCTGGGAAATATTTCTTTCCGCCCTTAAAACATTAAACAAAAAGCGCACCAGGAGGTAGTCGCAACACCAAGCCACAAAAATAGACAAACATAAGGAGTATTATGAACCAAACCACACGGCTCTTTGAGCCTTAGAGTAGGCCATTGCCCATATATCCAAGGCGGCGTGATTAAATATTAACCAGCCATTATCCTCGTTAATTTACCTCCCTTTCTCCTTCTCTATTTTCTCTAGCGCCTCCTTTTCAACTTGCTGTTGTTGCTCCTGCTGCTTCATCTCCCGGACCTTGGCGAGGACTACTTCTCTGAATATAGCGCCCCGTGCAAGTCTGCTGAGACGACCCTTGTTAGCCGGTGCTGCTGCACCTTCAGACGGCTTGGCATCCGCAGCAGGTTTCTCCTCGGCCTTCTTTTCCTCAGATTCATCAAGAGTGGTGCCGGGGATATCGTCACCTTCATCCTGCATCTTCAAGGCCTCAATCCGGTTGGCAAGCTTGATAATCTCGATTCCGCGCTTCAGCCTGTTACGGGCAATGTAGGTCTTGAGTTCAGGAAGAATGTTGTGATCAGTGGCTGTTTCACCCTTGAGCCATCTGTGCTGTAGAGCTTGTTCACTAGTTGATCTGAGAGTTGGGTCTGGCTGGAGGAGAGTGAGGATGAAGTCCTTTGCGTCCTTGGAGACATCCTTCCAGTATCTTTCGTGGAAGACGATGCGGCCCGATCGACACTCTTCGATCAGGTCATTGAGAGATTCCGACCGGAAAGGAGAGTAACCGCAGAGGAGCGTGTATGTGATGACGCCCATGGACCACATGTCGACGGCCTTACCGTGGCCCTGTTTTAACATGACTTCTGGAGCAGCGTATCCAAACGAACCGGCCATGGATGTGAGCACCTCTGTGTCGCTGTCAAGCATCTTCGCGATGCCAAAATCTGCTAAAACTAAGGGAGATTCCTGCGCAGTAGTGAGATATAAAAGGTTTTCAGGCTTTAAGTCTGTTAAAATATCAGTAACTGTGAGAAAATGGGGTGCAGTCCTTTGTATACCTCGGTGAACCACGTTACGCTCATGGAGATAGTTGACGGCATCTAGAACCTGTCGGATCGTTTGTGAAGCGTCCTTCTCGGTAAATCGTCCGTAATCGCAGATTCTGTCAAAGAGCTCACCACCAGTGGCTAGCTGGGTGACGATGTAGTATTTATCCTGGCACGCGGTTAGAATAGCTAATCAATCCGCCGAGGAGTACATGGAGCGCACACCTTTGACTCAAACCAGTCATGGAATCTGACTATATTAGGATGGTGAAGTCGCTGTAACATGTCCAACTCATCGTACACCATCTGTTCGTTGCCCTTTACGTTTTTCTTAAGAATAATCTTTATGGCAACCTTGCCGTTGGGGCCGTCCGCCTCCCGAACAATGCCATATGTACCTGCACCCAGTGTCTTTCCAAACCGATACTGTGCTCTAAGGGAGATATATGTAAGCCGTGGAATTCTTCGTCATCCTCCCAGTCAACGCTGGCAGTAGACGGTGACTTCATGCGTACTTTTTATCGTAACTCTCTGGCTGCCCTTGCAGCTTGTTAAGCATGTTCGTGACTAGACGCCGCGGGGAAAAGGGAAATACATCAGCTTTCATCCTCAATTGCGACAAGAAACAGCTACCTCGAGCATCATCGACAGACAGACAGCCAAAGTTGACAATGATATTGGCAACTGTGATAAAACAGGAGGGACCGCAGTACAGCAAACGAACCAGGCCGACTGCTCGAGGGGCCTGTACCCCTCATCAAGGCGCCCTAGCAGACCAAGGGGGAGATGACCGGGTGAGAGTCGCGTAAAACTTACAACTCATCTTGCAGGCGGACTGTCAGCCACTGCTTGTTATTCTATCGGTCGGTCGTCAGAGTCGTGGAGGATGTGGTCGGGGAGAGAGTGTTGCAGGTGGTCGTTAGTTAGACGTTGAAGATGAGGGGCGGCGGTGTTGCTAGTTAGTTAACTAACTAGTTAATTATTAGTTAAAAAGCGAGTAACAAATATTCCTCGGAATCCGTTCGATAACTAACTGGCTAGCTAAACCAGCTGTCTCAATTGAAAAAGAAAGCAAAATCAGCCCTTCAGCCTGGCGACGAGCAGGATTGGCGCTGCGATATGCCTGTATTGTGAAGGTTGATGATGTTGTTCAATCATCACCAACGCTGACGATGATAACACGCCAACTAAGATACGAGAAGCGCCACAACGCAGCTCCATAGGCTCAGCCACAGCGGGAGCTGACGCCGAGCCATGCTTAGCTATACCAAGATGTGCCGCCGGTAGCGAAGACGGCGTCTGTGGCTGCTCCTAATCTGCTCCGTCTCAGCTTGAGTATGGAGTTGCCAGTCAAGAAATGATATACTTGAGGCGGAGAATCGAAATATAGCTTGGGGGTGGTTGCACTCGTCAGCTCACTATATAGCTTCCCAGCGGTAAATTAGGAGATGTCAGAGTTGAGTTCGTGAAAGAGCAGGTTTTCGATGTGTGCAAATAATGATTTGCTTGATTTTATTACTGATTTCCAGGGGTCGCGCTGTGATGAGCCGACATAGGCCATGTTACTTGGGCCATGTAGGTCTAGTATCTATCCCCTTTGCAACATATAGATTTAGCACTGACGACTGGCAATAAAACCATCCCATCATGCATTTTTTATATTAACTTACTCTGCGGCATAATTTGTTTAGTGAACGCCTTTATAGACCCGGTTGAAGGTACCTGTTCAGACCTTCCGACCACAATGATATATTGACTTCTGCGGTTGACTATAATCATAAAGCGCTGCTAGTAGGAAATTTGCCGACTTTCAAATGGTACATATGGCCCACTGAATCCCTCACCCGGATCTTTTTTCAAACCAAAGAACGTACCAACTTCTACTGTAACGTAGCAATGCGTTTTAGATGCTATGCTTCGACTTACCCAGAGGCCCATACACAGTCAACTGTACATTTGTATGAGCTTATTCCAGGAACTCGAATACTAAGCTGCTAAGAAAATCAACACATGTGGTAGCAAGCTCGAAGACTAGATTTGGAGAGAACTGCTGGATATGAAATAACAAGGGGCAGGCTAGTATTAGGAGTCTTTATCAGGCAAGTTCAAGCCAGACAATATTTCAACCACAGCACGTTAAGTTGTATCTTGCCTGAGGTTGATCAATAGCTTGGAGGTATTTGCATTTTTCATCGGGGTATATGCGAGTAGTGCACCGGAATGTGGGTGTGGCTCCTGGTAATCATGGTCCTGGTTCTGGCTGAACGTAAATGCATGACATGATAGATAGCCCAAGGAGTGAGAGTATAAGCTATATATTTTGGAATTAGTTACGAATGAGACATATGTGTTTCTGAGAAACCGAAATATAAAATTGACGCTGAAGTTGAAACTGAAACGAAGTGAAAACAACCTTCAAAACGATGAAAAATGCATGGTCCACCCGCTGACAAGTAACACAGGAACATCTACTATCCTCTTCGAACAAGGTTATTATATAATCATATCAACCCGAACCTTATCAAGAAAGTTTATTTATAAGATTTTTTTCAACCAAAAAAAAAAAAAAAAAAAAAAAAAACAAAATTCAACTTTTAATGAAAATACGCTCCATTTCTAAGGAACCGTTGTAACCAAAGCAATCATGTTTGCTGTTCCAGGGTGGTCTGTTTTTTCTTCGGAGCTTAAGCTTCAGAAGGAGACACCAGCAGCAAAAGATGTGTCCAAGTCTCGGGATACTGATGGCTCATCCAAGAAACGGAAGAGAGCGCCTGGTGCAGATGACGATGGTGGAAAGGTCACAAAATCAAACGTGAACGAGATGTGGAAGAGATACATTGAAGGGGAAATACCAAAGCAAAAGAAAGCACGGCCGGAGAAGAAGGGTGAAGGCGATGGAAATATAAAACCCGATATACCAGCCTCAAAGGGCAGCAAGAAAGCCAAAAAGCCGAAGAAGGATAAGACATCTAAAAGGGAGCAACAAACAGGGAGCAATATGACACCATTAGGTATCCGCGAACCAAGCACGGCTTCGCCCACCATGACTTCCTCGCTTCCACCACCTCCTCCTCCTTTGCCAGAAAATTCGAAACTTACTCCACTCCAGCAATCTATGCGGCAGAAGTTGATTTCAGCTAGATTTCGTCATCTCAATGAAACTCTTTATACAACGCCGTCCACTGAGGCCATGGAACTATTCACGAATAACCCTGAAATGTTCGCTGAATATCACGCTGGTTTCTCACGCCAGGTTAAAGAGTCGTGGCCGTCTAACCCCGTGGATGGATACATTAATCTGGTACAAACTCGAGGCGAAGTTCGCCTCCAGCATAAACGACAGGGGAAGAAACCAGCTCAAAGCAGCTCCAGCCTTCACCCTCTTCCAAGGAAGGCCCAGGGCCTCTGCACTATTGCTGACATGGGATGTGGTGATGCCCAGTTCGCCCGCGCTCTTTCATCTTCAAAAAAGTCAATGAAACTGAAGATCCATAGCTTTGACTTGCACGCCCCAGATTCTGTGATCACTAAAGCTGACATCGCCAATGTGCCACTTGAAGATGGCAAGGTGGACGTCGTTATATTCTGCTTAAGTTTGATGGGAACTAATTGGGTATCATTTGTTGAGGAAGCGTGGCGTGTACTCAGAAGTGATGGCTTGGGTGAATGCTGGGTCAGCGAGGTAAAAAGCCGATTCGGGAAGCCAAATAAGCAAAAATCGGCCAGGGGATCCATTGGCAAAGTTAAGAAGGACAAGTCTAAGAAGAAACAGAAAGGCGATGAGGAGGAGGAAGACGCTGGCGAAGCTATATTCGTGGAGGATCAGGTTATAAAAGCGGATGATGACGATCAAACAGATATCTCAGCCTTTGTGGAAGTCTTTGCTTCGAGAGGGTTCGTTCTGAAGCAGGAGAGCGTTGATAAGTCCAACAAGATGTTTGTGAAAATGGAATTCACTAAATATGGCGAGCCGAAGAAGGGCAAGTGGGCGAATCCAAACGGCCCTGTCGAAAAGAAAACACTATACAAGAAATGGGGTGCTTCATCAATCCCCAGTGATATGGGGATGACTGCCGAGGAGGAGAGCAAGGTGTTGAAGCCGTGTGTCTATAAGTTACGATAGTATATGCGATTACAACTTCCGAATGTTGGTAATATAAAGAATATTTTGGGGTATATCTATCGTTTCTACTTAGTCCCGTTGGAGTGTGTTGCGTAAACGTTATGGCCTTGTAGAATCTATGGGATTTCTTGATAGCGACATCAATCAACCCAGGCCGACGCAGCGCTCAGGGTCCATGTTAATTACTTCCCAAGGTAGATACAACTCGCCCCATGTCCTCGTCGCTATAAATCTGGAAGCCTTTCTCTTTCGTAACGCTAGCAAGCTGGACGTTCTTCTCATCGAGCTTCTCCTCCATGACTTGTTTCAGCGTCTTGAGAACCAAAGTCTCGGCCTCAGCCAGTGTCAAAGACCGATGATATTCGTTCTGTAGTTCGGCTTGTGCTCCCTCACTTCCGGACCCTATAGCCTTAGCATCATAACGGTAGAATGTGCCAGATGGCTCAGCATGGTACCTATGAAGGAATAACCAGATTAGCAACCAAAGTATGGCTTGCGATGAAATGAAGATGATACGTACAACTGCGGGCCATCCTCGTCGCATCCAGCAATCAACAAAGCCACTCCAAATGGCCTGCTCATTATACTCTCTTCGCCATCAGCACCCTCTCCAAACCGAAGGGCAAGGTCACATATTGCCTGAGTACAGCTCTCGACTCTTAGCGGCTCTGAATAATGGAATCGATGGTTTTGGGTCTCCACTCGTGCGTGTTCAACCATTGACCTAGCATCAGCTTGCAGGCCGGACATCGCACATCCTATGTGTTGGTCTATCTCAACGATCTTCTCAACCGACGACGTCTCCAACAGAGTGGAGGTAACTCGCTTTTCAACACCTAGAACGACACCCTCAGAAGTAGCAACCTATTTCATGGTAACAATAGCACGTCAGAGAAAAATCACAAACAGCTTTATTTCGAACGAGGATAATTGCAGATAGTATCACGTACTCCAATGGCAGTAGAACCTAGTTTTATAGCTTCGAGAGAGTACTCTACTTGGAAAAGACGGCCTTCTGGCGAGAAGGTGCTGTACGTAGCTTGTATAAGCAATCATTCGCTCGAAATCAAACGGTCAACCTTATAATGATATGCTTACTTGATTCCACGATCTAGAGGGGTGGTCGGTCAGCACACGGTATTATGCGGAGGGACTGTAAGAGGTACTCACCATACTCGGACCGTGCGATAAACATGATGATGTAGATACCACCCCGGATGAGTTTTCAGTAGATCGGCTATCAAAATAGCAGGAGATACCCTTGAGCGCAGCTTGGGAAGTGCTCATCTGAAGCTGTCTGTAATGGATGTTGTTGATCTCGGCGGTTGAGCTCGTCCGCCCTCTTGCTGCTGCCTTTCTTTAGTCCACGCAAACAGAAGAAGTGCCTGGGCAGACCCGCGCTAAACCCAAACGGGAGCTCCATCAGCATCATAACTAGAAACGCGGTTTTGGGCGATGAACGCTCATATTAAAACTCCTTGCGAACAGATCCTCGTTCTCAAGCAGTCAGGTTCACGCCAGGTTACGTCTTTTTCAATGATTCATGATTATGAGTTCCCCCTCTTCTGCAAAGTCAAGGGTGACACAAGAGCGCGCTGCAAGCTATAGCAACCCTCTCAGCAGACCCGGAGTCCCCTCCACCCGCGCTCATGGAAGAGCAACATCCAGACAGGAATCACCCTTTTCACGAGAGACCACCCCTGTAGCCGAAGGCCGGCCTACCACAAAATCCATGAATAAGAGTCATGTCACTTCCAGCGAAGTGCGCACGGAAAGAACTAGCGTGGTGACCAGAGAAAAGATGCAGAGCAAGCAACGATCTGCCAGAGAGAATATTGCGCCAGGAAGCCCAAGGGACTGGGACAAGAGTCGCATGAAGAGGGACCAGCATAGAAGCAATTCAATAGCTATGGCGACCGAAAAACCTCAAGTTGATGGTTTGTTCACACGCCACGATCAATCCAATCTTCATCCACCAGCTACTAACTGATCAATTATCCAAGTGCCCTGGAATCCAACCGTGTCCCTTATACCGCATTCTACCGCTCCCCTTGCCTGTCGAGTTTCCGTTCCACCTTTGTTCTTAGATTTACCAAAGGCACTACGCCCAGGATCACTTCGAGATCTCTCTTTAGATGCGCAGGAATCGGCAATTCTACAAGATTTGCTATTTATGTTTATGGGATATGAAGGCCAGTACATACACTACGCTAATGCATACAACCCGTCTGTAGAGACAGATCGTTTGGTAGGGCCCTCTTTTCAAATCACTCCAGGACTTGATCCAAGCTTGAGAGACCTGACAATTGCAATGTTGAAAATGGCTACACACTACAGCGCAATGGAAGCATTTGTAGAAGTGCAAAGCAGATCGGAATTCGGTGCTGTCAACCATGCGCTATGCGCAGCAATACGGCAACTTCTCAAGGATTATTTGATTATGGTGGCTCAGTTAGAGACTCAATATATCAATAACCCGAACTTCACACTGCATGTCATGCACCTCCATACAATGCCTACCAGCCAGACGCTTGCCCAGCTGTACTCTCTCGGACAGGAACTGTTGAAGAAGAATTCGCTATTGGCCCAAGATCCAGATGAGTCAATTGACGATTTTGATGATGTTGATAATATCCTAGAACAGCTTCGTGAGGGAGGGGAACTGGCTCCGGGAAGCATGTCTAAGAAACTTTGCAAAGGCGGTAACGTGCTCGGTCTCATTAGTCAACGCCTGGCTACGTTCTCAGGGGATCCGGCTACCGGTGTATTACTTCAAACATTGCTACGAGAAGCCAGTCGGCCATATATGGCCATGTTGAATGAGTGGTTGCACCACGGTGGGATAAGAGATCCTCACGCTGAATTTCTTGTCAAGGAGCAAAAGGGTATCAAGCGTGATAAGCTTGAAGAGGATTATACCGATGAGTACTGGGAAAAGCGATACACTATTCGTGATCATGAGGTCCCTCCTCAGCTGGATGCTGTTAGGGATAAAGTTTTGTTGGCTGGCAAATACCTGAATGTTGTCAGAGAATGTGGTGGTGTTGATATCAGCAAGGAAGTAAAGGATGTTCCCAAAACATTTGACGACCCACGATTCCTCGATAATATAAATGGAGCATATGCGCATGCAAACGCATCACTTTTGCATCTTCTATTAACGAAGAACTCTCTAACAACCCGTTTCCGCTCCCTGAAACATTATTTCTTCCTGGATCGTTCTGATTTCTTCTCTTATTTTCTTGAACTTGGTGCCTCTGAGCTTCGGAAACCTGCGAAACATGTTAACGAAGGGAAGCTTCAGTCCCTTCTTGATATAGTACTGCGACAGCCGGGAAGCATTGCTGCTCAGGACCCATTCAAAGAGGATGTGAAAGTCAGAATGAATCAAATGGGCTTGACAAAATGGTTGATGCGTGTTGTGAGTGTATCTGGAATTGACCAGGATAACCCTGATGGGGGCATAGAAAAGTACCAAACTCCGGCCCCTCAATCATCCGAGAACGAGAAGGACATCATTGGATTCGACGCCCTCGAACTCGACTATCTCGTCCCGTTTCCTCTTTCGTTAGTGATCAGTCGAAAAACCGTTCTCCGGTATCAACTTGTTTTCCGACACCTTCTATCCCTGAGACACCTTGAGACGTTACTTGTTAACTCATGGCAAGAGCATAGTAAATCTACCAGCTGGAAACACAAATCCTCAGACCGCAAAGTTGAACTCTGGAAAAGGAGGGCATGGACACTTCGTGCCAAGATGCTTGTCTTTGTACAGCAGCTTCTCTACTTTTGCACTGTAGAAGTGATGGAGCCCAATTGGCAAATATTGATGAACAGAGTTAATGGTGATGGCACTGAGGCGACTGAAGTGACAGTAAATGGGACGAAACAAGTCAACAGAACTGTGGATGAATTGATGCAAGACCATGTCGACTTTCTTGATACTTGTTTAAAGGAGTGCATGCTTACTCAGGGGAAGCTTCTAAAGGTAAAATAATAGGCACCTACAGCATAACCAATACTAAATGCTAATTTACAACTGTTCTAGATTCACTCCAAACTCATGACATGTTGCACAATGTTCGCATCCTGGTCTGCGTCCTCATTGACTCGCAGCTTGGCCTCGGCGGATCCAGATTTGTCTGGGTCAATAGATTCATCCAAAACTTATGATCCCTTAAGGCTTGCAAAACTAGAGGACACCCTCAAGCGATACGAGGATCATTTCAGCCGGCATCTACGAATTCTGATGGACAGGTAAGACTATTCAATTTCCACTGTAACGTTCGATGCATCAGCTAACCTTGAAACTAGTCTCAACTACTTCGCTGCTACAGAGAGTGTAGTGCTACTGAAGCTTGCTCACTCTCTAAGTGCAATAGGGAACGAGGAGTGATGGATTTTATGACTTATGAAGAGTTCACAACGCTTTTCGGCTCGCGTAATGCCGAATCCGGCTTGCTCTGATTTGAGAGGACCAGAGGCTAAACATAAATAATGCCTGCACCTCCATTTATGGACGCATGGCAAAATAATCAAGCAGGCGACGAGTCCCTCCGCGGCCCCCGGAACTTTGTCTATCTAAATAAATGCTGTCCTGGCTATAGGGATAAAGGAGTGAGCTCACCAGGAGTCAACTCACTGCCGAAGTTATTGGGAGATGACCTTAACCGCTGTGATGATAATAGCCATGTCTTGAAAGGAACAGTAGGATCTGATATTGGCTGAATTCTTGGTCATTCATGATGAACAAAGCTGCTAAATCAAAGTACATCAAAGAAGTTTATACCGTAGGATGCAAAATAAACGCCTCAAACTCCAATTAGAAACAATACCGAAGCAAAGGACTTCGATTATCATTTAAAATCATGCTTTCTCCTTTTTTGAGCGTTTCTTATCCTTTACTTCCGTCTCCACGTCATCAACCTTCTTCTCTTCACCCTCCTCAAGCCGTTTCCGCTTCTTCTTTTTCTTCTCCCCTGTATCCTCCTTTGGCGGTATGAAATCTTTCTCCTGCTCCTTCATCTTCTCTGCCCTCTTTTCCCTCTGTTTCTCCATAATCTCCTCCTTTCGAGCTCTTTCCTTGGCCTGTTTACTAAGGAAATATTCACCACTCTCAATCTGCAGATCAACCTTACTCTTCTCCTGAGCTGGTGGGAACGGCGTGTAAACTTTCTTAGATTTATCTGTAACTTTGAATGGTTTTCGTCTCTTGCTGAGGGTCCGTTTCTTGAGTTGCGGAAGGAACCTGTCCCACGATTCCTGCGCCAGTTGAGGATCCTTGGCGAGCTCGCGTTTGATCATTAATTCCTTGATATGGTATATGGGGTGGATGTTGTTCATGCAATCTTCGACAATTCGACGGACTTCCTTCAAACCCTTGAAGGGACCCATTGCAGCAACTGTGTTTCCCTGGACGAGTAGATATGTACCCGTAAGTAGCTCGAGGGCTTTCAGCGTTGATCCGGAAGGACCCAGAATGCGCTGTCTCCGTTTAACGAATCTCTCCTTGTTCCGGACTAGGTTACGAATCTTGATGATGTCGCATGCAACGTCATCCTCGAGAATTTTCAATGCCTACATGCATGATGGTTTAGTTATCACCTTAGATAATACAGCGTATATAGGTTTGCAGGTTTTCTTACTTGTGGCGCTGGAACACTTCTCGCCAGGAGTTTGATAAGATCTCTTGCTTTCAAAATAGCAGCAGGGTCAAATGTCTTTCGGGTGGTCTTGACGGTCATGCTACCCTCTACAAGATCAAGAGTGCAGGTTATACAGCTCTTCTCCAGCGCCTTGGTTACCAACGGCCATACTTCTCGGAGGTATATTTCTCGATACTTTGGGAACAGGCTGACGAAAGAGGATTCTTCTGCGAATGTGCCGCCGACATTATCGGAGGGTTTGAATTCTTCAATCTATTCGTACCAAAGGGCTGCATTAGTAAAGAGGTCGCATGTAAACGGTGGGAGCGCAATAGGTACCTTCCACTTGTCAATATCGTCCGTATCCCAGGGCTTATCCCTCTTATATGTTGAAGGCATTGTGTCCGTATCACAGAACAGACCGCGCGTGGTCTTCTTACTCTCTTCCCGCGCAGCTTGAAGTGAGCTTCTTGATATCGCGATGAAGATTTAAAAAAAAAGCTTGGATGGAAGAAAAAAAGAGAGAGAGAGAGCAAGCTACTTTAGGCAAGTAAGCCGAGATCCAGCCAACGGTTCCAAAGACAGAAGGTTTGACGATTATGTAATATTTAGCACGATTATCCATCTCACGTGCCCTTCTTACCCGAGCAGGCAAGACTATGCGTGTGCTACGCGCTGAACACAGCCAAGCTTCGCGTGACCCCACTATTCCTAAGCGACCGCGGTTCCTAACAAGCGCCGCGAACCGTTGTTTTGGCACCAGCTACATGCATCTTATCATCGTATTTCGAAGCCATGGCGATTCAGACAGAAGGAATAAGGGAAAAACACGCACACAAACGCCGAAGGGGAAGCTTTCTGCGCTGTGGCTGCATTTGATGCCAGCGCCGGCGTGAACTTCGGGCCCAAGCGACGGAAATTTTATCGCATGCAGGTCCTTCTCTGTCATTCGTTAGTTAACGGCTCGGTAACAGCGATCCACCTTGATCATAGCGTTCTGCTGGCCCACTGCTCGATATCTTAACAGACGGGGGACAGCTATAGATCATTTATGTGGCCTATCTACAAGGAATCCAAGGCAAGATTGATAGCCAGATCTATCATCAGACAAAAGCCCTTCATTCGCTCGCCTTGAATCGAAAGCCTTGAAGGGCCATCTAGATCAAAGCTGTCAACCGTTGTGTGGAAGTAATTGACGGGGGTATTAGCTCGTTAGCTGCCAGCTCTTGGAAGCCCTCCTCGTTAGCTATTTTACTCCGTACTCTTTCGGCCCAAGGTTCCAAGACTAAAGGATCGTCACGGAAGAGCTAGTCGATTGATGCACATCATAAAAAGAACATGGATAGAATGCGAGGCAGAGACCAACTAGAGCAGAAGGTGGTGCTAGTGACAGCGAGGTTAGGAGAGGTGTCAATAAATGGAGGTTTCCATAGCTCAGTTTAGGTAGCGAAGGCTGTCAGACGAATAAGAGAGAAGGCAATATCGTCCTATGTTGCTATTCATCAACCAGTAAATAAACATAATTAGCATAAATAAGCCAAAATAATTGTTAATCCCGAAGTTTGATACTCACCTAGCGCCAGCTAACTAGGTACGCTGTCCAAAGTATAATGCGTCCCAGAACCTTGGGAGGCTACATCTCACTTCCAACACGCAGGCGAAGCCGGTGCATCAAGACCTCAGCCTCCTTTCCCGTCAATCATCGCAGCTCTTAAGCTGCCCTGCTGCAATCCGAGCTGATAACTAAGGCGTCATATCGTGTTGAGGTTGTGGTGTTGAGCAGACTGGACGTCTGCCAGCCCACCACCTTGCTTGACACACTCCTATTTTGCTTGATCTTGAGCCCCTTCCAGCATCCATTACTGTCAGCAGCCTGGTTTTTCTAACAGCAGAGATCTGACTGCAAGACTCAGAATTTGATTTTGTGAACGCTTTACAAGCGCCTGTTTCGAGAACCGCTTCCTTCGTTGTCGAACCGATTGAGTCGTGGGGGTGACCAGTTCATCCATCCAAACCCACCTACCTAACAACTCCTATTCAGCCTACCATGTTTCTCCGGACAATCCAGACATGATGAAGCCTCGAATGATATTCGTTTCATCGACGCTCATTTGCCAAAGGAAAAGATGAAATCTTGACCTGGCTTCGGTGCTATCTCATTACCAGCGCATCCCGACCGCAATTCCAGCACATCGCCACATTGTGCGGCCATAGTGTTCATCTCAACACACGAAACTGTGTCTCTGACGTTGTGGAACAACCATCGACGACCCAAATATCAAACGAGTCAACGAAGTTTTGGCTATCCTCGGCTTACCGATGATGTATAACTAAGCTCAAGTCCAGCTTTTAGGTCCTGAGCCTGGGACCTGTGAGAAACCATGAGAAATCATCAAATATCTCGTAAGAACGTGTTTAAAACACTCCAAATGATATTTGTTTCTCCTTTCGTGTTCTTGGGAGATAATATCTTTCAATCTCGACGTGGAATAACTACAGGGCTATCAGAACAAATAGTCAGAACATCTCTGACAGACTCTACCCCTGGATGGAACGTTATAGGTCACGGTTTCCGCCCGATGCAAACATATCTGCAACGTCAGATTCAAAAATATCAACCTAGCCGATAGAGGTTACTTACAGAGGAATATATGCCTTCAGTGAGGGGTCATCTGCTTCTTGCCTAGCACCTGTTAAAAGTTCTTGGAACTCAACCTCAGGCATGTCAAGCAGGTGCATAAACGGATATAGCCCAAGTGATTCCAGGAGAAGATGAACATTCTTTCGGTTCGCCTCACCGATAGCCTTCATCCTCGGATCTGGTTATAAGTTAGCTGGATGCCGTTGACCAGTTAATAGTCAATGTGACTGCGGAATCTTATGGGTCTTACCCGTTGACCATCCAGATAGGGGCAGAGGTATCATTTTCGATTCAATATCAACAAGGCCAGCTGAAGCCATAAGACCAGCAAGTTTCATTCCACTTCGAAGGTCTTTGACGCCTTCTAAAGCGGCAATATAACTTGTGCTCCATTTTCTCAGGCAGTGGCTTTCAGTCAATGCTCCGTTGTCCGACTGGACGTTAAAATATACTTCAACCATCTGTGCCCAACCACCTCGTTTTAAACATCTAATGTTATATGGTATTCCATTCAGCACAAACCGGAACTATGTTGTGGAAGTTCCTGCCGTTTATACCCTCCCAGGACATTCATCTACTCACCTTGAAATATCACGGAGATAGCGTGGCCATCTTTCCTTATCGAGACCGGAAGCAATCAGGCGCGAGTGAACCAAATCAAATTGGTTTGAACGAAAAGTGAAAGTGCGGTTCAAATCGTCAACCTAGTCAGTCCACGGTTGATATACAATGTTGAGTGGCAAGCTTCTTAAAGATGGGGAACATTACCTGCAACCAAAGGTTATCCGGTGTATCATCAGGCTTCATATGTGGAGATACATCGATCCCTATGACCTTCATGACGCCCCTTCTTTTAGTGGTGATCCTTTCCCAAATTTCGGATGGTATGGCTCACTTCGCAGTCTGGATATTGCTCAGCAACCTCCACGGCCCAAGTACCCGATCCGTATCCGCAGTCGAGCACTTTATCCAGCTGCTGGATTGGCGGGAATATAATCCTATCATCGAACACCTTGCTGAAAACCTGCTGTTCCAACTCTAACCTCTCGATCTCTTCCTAATAGTGAATGAGCGATGTTTTGGCTGGTAAGGGTTGGAGCAGACAGCACTACGCACGTCGTCAATAGGAGCGAAGTATATCTGGTTGTCCTGTGCATATTTCTGATACTCCCGTCCCTGAAAGGTTATAATTTCCAAATGTGCGTTATCCAAGGCTGTGGTACCGAAATGAGGATCACTGTGAAATTTTGCCGTCAGCCATGAACAACAGACAATTATTGAGAAACTTGGAGCCATTATTACTTCATTCTGACCATATGAGACTCTTTCTGAAAGTTTACTTGAAGGAAGAAAAATTATTTTCAGTGGGCTTTCTCGATATAATCGATCCACGAGCTATGTCGGAAAGTTCAGGGAAATGATAGTTTGCTTGTGGAAGGCTAAGGCGACTCAAAATATAGGAGAAAGTTCTGCCCGTCATTGATATTACCGTCTTGTCAAATTGTCACGAGGGGTGGAATTTAATGTTAGGCCACGGAGTCACTTTCCTGCTGACTGGTATTGATAATATCAAATCCTTGCTCAGCCTAAGTTGCGGCAAAGCCGATGCCCGGGTAGATCCAGTCATTGGTTATGTATCTTATGACCATTTCAAATAATTGGGTTGGTCTCTATATCGTTGGAAATTCACTGACACATAATAGAGTTCTTTTGACCGAGTACCGGCCCTCAGACTAGCCTTCACATAGGCTGTCAGGCTTGCTACGGAAGGTGTCGATACCTTGATGCATGCCTGAACGTGGATATCCACTACGGGCCAACATAAGCAAGAAATCATGTTTCCCACTCATGGGAAGGGTGGGAATATCACACGTACAGCGGTGGGTCCCTAGGCCACCCGCCTACGAAGTTGATGCAAAGATCGATCTGTTTCTTGCGAACAGACCTCTAATTATCACCCCAAGGCTGTGTTTACCTTAGTGCATGATTATTGGTACTGCAGGCTATAGCTGGATAGAAGGATGAGCTTCAAAAACTGCCCCAGATGAATATATACCTGGGTTAGCTAGTCTTGGATTGATGCATGGCTGAAATACCCTAGCGAAAGGTAAGGACTGACGACGAAGTGGAACCTGAACGCACCCGTTATAACGCTCCACGTATTCAGTCAGGGCAGCTCGGAATCGTGAATACCCATTTCCTCGATTTAACCCCGTCGAAACATTATTACTGCCATTATTCGAATCTCCCAGTGACATGGACTTGGGTCGTTCAGTTACCTTCCCTTTCCCCGCTAGCTTGGATCAAAGGGGAAGGAATCACGGGCCGCTGTCCACTAAATCGCCGAATATAGGATCTTCAGCGGGCCTTGATACTAGCTGCATTCTCCTGCAGCCATCAGAGCTATCATGACTAGAGAATATTCCGTGTTTAGCCTACATTATCTTATTCGTATGGTGTACGGAAACATATCTATATCCGATCCCGACAAGGGCTACGACTGCTCTGCATGACAAACTATATATTCGAAGCAAGCTAACGCAGGAGCTGACGCAAAGCACGAAGTTGGTGGATCAGATCACCTCTTCACGGCTGAATGTGTGATGCATGCAACCCATTGTATATTGGAAATATTTATACACAGGGTTCGAAGAAACTCAGCACTCGCATAACACAGTTTTTAAACATATTCTGAATGATATTATTGACGAGGCACAGGGCCGAGACAGGTTTCTAATAATCACTACAGGGGCGTCCAGTTGAACAAACGGCAAAGAATTTGTACACGGTCAAAACTCCCTTAGAGAGAACGCTACGATCTGTCGACATGGCCGACCTCAGTCTACCTGCCAAAAAGCAGTCCAAGTTCGTCTCACCTCACGGCATTGGTTGCAGGTCAAGGTGGAGCAGCCATTGTAATGTAACATGCACTCCTGAAAATGAAGGATTATCCGCCACAACTATCACGAAAACATGTACTTGCATCAATACTAATAATTATGGCTCTATATGGGGCGCGCCCAATGGCCAATGGAGTGAGTTTTCTGAGTTGGTAGTCTTCCTGACCTTATATTACTGGAAATCTCGTCCTCAGCAAGAGCAGAAAGAGGATTGCTGAACTTGATCAAAGCTATTCAACCGAATCGGTTCAGTGAGAGTCCCTTACAGCAAATATATAATATATATACATATCACTCCCTATACCAGCCCATTGGGAGGCATCGTGACCCCCTTGCAGCGTCACCAATTAAACGGAGAGTGGATATAGGAATGCTCCACGTATTTCGAACAACAGGATCAGGCCTGGTAACTAAGAAAGATGTGAAGAGCTCCCAATATTCATACCTCATGTCCTACGTGACGCCTACGTGCTAGCATGGAGATATGCAATAAAAGGTTTTCAGCTATAGTTAGCCAGCGTGGGTTGTCGACCCCTTCAGAGTGATTTGCCTTGCAGTCCCTGCCATAGCAGGGTCTCGATGTGTTCCCGGTAACTATCGAATACGTGCACCACGGGGAGAACGGGTAGTCCCGAATCTGGGAGATTCAATACCCGCCCTGTTCGTCCCAAAACAAGGGTCCTTCGTGCATAAGCAGGATGCCATACGAATCTAATAGTGAGTATGTCTGACGGGAATGGACAGGCATCCCAAATCGAGAGATTCTTCCGAGCTCGGATTCTACCCGTAACACTTGGGAACCCTCAATGTTTCGTTTTCTATCGTATTAATTGCAGGCCATGCAGCTGCGAAGGAACAGAACTACCTGCTGTATTATTATTATTATTGCATGCTGACACCGGAGACATGGATTAGCGGTGTAGTAGTGCGAAGTTTGTCTCCTTGTCAGCGATCAAGCGATCAGGGGTTGTTTACTGGGCAAGGTCAACATCAGCGTTGGTCGTGAAGAATCGCTTCCTTGGAGCAGTTTTCGTGCTACGGAGCACAGAAACGAGCGTACATATATGGACGGCTATCCTTTAGGGAAGCGAGATTATTTGTAGTCAGGATTTTTATTATGTTTGGCGTTTCAGTTATCTTTAACTCATCAAGGTAATGATGATACCAGGTGACGCTGATTATTATCATCACACACATCAATGCATGGCCTCAAATTCAGGGATGCATATTTTGTGTTGGTGTATCAGCCTAGGGTAAAAGCAACGCAGGATGGGGGGCGATTATAGGGATAGGATTTAAGGAAATCAAACGCCAGTTTCGTCGGACAAAGTGTGAGGGAGAAGATATTTGAAATCACAATCCCTTCTTTCCAGATTCCCTCTCCCTCTTTTTAAGAGCTCGCTTACGAATAGTCTCATGCATCGATTTGTTAAAGCCTATGACTGTCTTACTTATAGGCCCAAGGGAGGTGACAATGCTCCAGGCCATCAGGGCGTGGCTCCAGTATGGAACGGAGGTGTAAGCATAGGAGAAGAGTCCCCCACTTCGCCCAACATGGCCGAGGGTAGCACGGACAAAATCTCTTGGATTTGGGATAGTCATGCTGGTTTTTCTGATCTTAGACATGGCGGAGGTGACGAGGTAACTTTGGGTGAGTTGAACAGTGATCCCGTAAGGTTCTAACTCGGAACCCAAAGAGCTTGACCACTGTTGGAGGAATGCCTTGCTTCCCGAGTACGTAGCCAGCAGAGGAGTTGGGAAAAGGCCACCGAAGGATCCCATTGTCAAAATCAACCCACGCTTCCGCTCCATCATGCCTGGCGCAACCAACTGAGTGACCCGTAGCGTACCAAGGCAGTTGATAGTGATGATATCCTCCATCTCTTCCGGGTCAGTAAGAACGAATGGGACTGGGATGGAGTGGCTGAGTCCGACGTTGTTGATAAGAATGGAAATGTCCATTCCCTTGATAACTTTCTTTAGCTTCTCGTAATCGTCATCGTCGTTATGGGAAAAGTCCATAGCCATAGTCTTGGTTTGGACGGAGGCATTTTTCTCGCAGATCTCTCCGGCTACCGCGGCAAGCTTGTCGGCTGACCGTGAAACAAGTAGGATATTAAACCCAGCGCGCGCCAGCTGGTGGGCGTATTCTTTTCCAATCCCATCAGATGCGCCGGTGACCAGAGCCCAGCTGCCCTTGGGGCCGAACGAGCGCAGCTATAGGTACAAAACCATTGGTCAGCGCACTGCGCACAAAGAATAAGCTCGAGAAGGTAAAAGAAACTATCGTACCGGCTTCCCTGGAAGCACGAAGATGCTGAAGAAAGCTCGCAAGACGCCAAATAGCTGTGATGCAAGGAAGAGACCTCCAACCGCAGCAACAAAGGTAGACGCAATTGACGCCCACCCGGCCGGTGGCTCAACGCGGAAATTATGAATTGTCTCACGCAAGGTCATGTTGTTGGCTGCCCGCTCTGCGCTATGCTCCCTCTCTCCCGGTGTTGTCTGCAGGATAGGATGCTGTCGAGGCTGTCAAGCTGGGAAGACGCGGCGTTCTGTTGACTTTTGGCAGGCTCAGCTAACTAGTTAGTTAAACGAATATTTACTTGCACACGCCAAGGCCCCGCGACTCAAACCAGCCAGCCCCCTTTTCTACTTTGCCCAACGCCAGCTGCAGATTTGATAACAGTCTATATTCCGTGAAAGAGAGGTCGAAGAAGAGCTCGGTCGTATAAGCAGCACTCAATTCAGGCTTACATTTAGCTAAGATGGACACAATTGCTGCTTACCTCCCTCAACATGCGGGATTCCTGCCCAAGTGGCTCCTCTTTGTATGAAGGACCTTACTCAATCAAAGGCTACAACCCACAACAGCAGTATAAATGAGACGAACTCAGGCTAACACATTCCATTGCATCTGCAGGTCTCGGTCGTGTCGTCTCTAAACACCTTTCAGGCATTCGCCAGTCCTGCCTATACCGGCCAGCTCTACTCTGCGGCCCCAGTGACACCTCTATCCTCACGCAAATTCGGGACATGGACGTTCTTATCCTCTGTTATTCGCATGTACGCCGCATATTACGTGTCTAATCCTCAAGTATACGACCTTGCCATGTGGACTTACGGAATTGCACTGGCCCATTTTGTCAGTGAATGGCTGATTTTCGGCACTGCAAAGGCACAGGGGAGATTTATTAGCCCTTTGATCGTAGCCAGTTGCAGTTTGACATGGATGTTAACCCAGAGAAGCTGGTATCTGAATCTGTGAAGTCCGATCTTTAGAAACCAAGGACGAAAAAGATATAACTAATAGAGACAATGGCGTTTTCTTATGGAATGTTTGCATGACATAGTACGGCATTTGATTTTCGCCTCGGCTTGTGTTGGCTGTACTCTAACTCTGGTTTCAAATGCCAGCTAGTTGAATCTACAAAAAAAAATTTTTTTTTCTCTTTGGATGAATTCCAACCGATGGTAACATATTAAGTCTTCAATGATATATTAATATACCAGTCAAGAAGGCAGGATTCTGGGGTCAAGCGTTAGAGCCTCTTTCTATACAGCTCTCCCGCGCAGTCTCTTAGCCTTGCTGCAGCCTGCTCTGGCGTAATGTCACGTTGAGGTTCTGCAAGCAATTCATACCTAAAGTAAGAGTGAATGTTAACCTTTAACTCCTTCCTGGCTGGGAACAGGCAAGCAGAGAATCCGGCATGCTGACCCTACTAAGAACTTCTTAACGGTAGCGCTCCTCAGTAACGGTGGGTAAAAGTGAAGGTGAAGGTATGAGCAGGCAATCTCCTCCTCTGTGCCGTCCAGCGGGGCCTGGTGAATACCCATACTATACGGGAAATGGGTTTGGAAGAGATTATCATATCGACGGGTTAATTCAGCAATTGCCTCCGCTAGATGCTCTTTTTCTCCTTGGTTCAAGTCTATCAATGCCCTTTTATGACGTTTGCTTATGACCATCGTCTCAAAGGGCCATACGGCCCACCATGGACAGAGGACTAGGAAAGTGTTATTTTCAAACACTATTCGCTCCTTCTTTTCCATCTCGAGCAAGGCATAGTCCTCGAGCATATGGCTACCATTGTGCTCCTTGCAGTATTTCAACATCTGCGAGAGCTCCTTTGACGGTTCTTCGGGCAGGGAACTAGTTGTCCATATTTGACCATGCGGATGAGGATTGGAACACCCCATTGTTGCTCCCTTATTTTCGAATATTTGCATATATCTGTATTGATCCTTTGGACTAGATATTTGCCTTGCTGGTGAGTCGGTTGAAATCCCCGCAATTGCTTCCGATTTGTACAGACATGATTTTGGTGACAGATGAAGTGCGTATATATCCGTCCAAACCTCTATGATAGGGACAATCTCCTGCGGCACGAGGTCTGCAAGTGTGAGATTGTGTTTGGCAGAGAATGTCAAGACATAGCATCTGCCCTTGACTGGCTGGGCTTGGAGAAACCGTGTTGATAGGGATGCTACTGGTTTATTTAGCAACATGATGCATCCTATATAGCCATCACTGGTATCAATGGTATAAATACAGCCTTCAAACTGACCTTTATCGTCCGTCCCATAGTCTGTCTGGCTCTCCTTAACAGCGCTATAGTCGTTAACAAAGACAAAGACCTTATCGTACTGCGGATTTCGGTCGCCTTGCGCTCGTTTGTTTCCAGGACACAAGTAACAGTTTTCATCGTACTCCGGAAGCGTAGACTTGGTTGGTGCTTCTTCTTGACCCCTATCGCACGGCAGTTGTCAGAAAACAAGATGCTCTTGTCCCTTTTCAATGCCTATCAAATTGACTTACTGCCATGGTCTTTTCGTTCGATGTGGGGAGACGAGAACATACGAGTCGGTAAGTGGATTGTATCTCCGATGCGATATGTCGTCTAGCACCGAACTAACCATCTTTTCGTCAGGCTATCTTCGTTTCTCTGCCTCCTTGCTGAGTTTCTCAATGCTCGATGCCGTGGAGAAGTTTGCGGGAGGTTAAAAAGAGGCTGCTCAACCCCCACTGGTTATAACGTCATAACTACTTCACCTACCTAAACGGTGTCTATTCCAACGCTTCTTTAAAACAACAGCATGTCAACAACGACATACCGAAGATCTAGAGCACTGAGAGCTGTAATAGATAGTGACACTTCGTGCCAATATCCTTCTTATCTTAGACTGCGTCTCGATCCATGATTCTCATGTTGGTTGCATGGTCATAAAGCATGTCAAACAGCCCAGGTTCCAAGGACCTTCTCCCCAGCATCAGGTTCACGAAGCCTGGAATGATCTATTGACATACTTTATTGCTCTATGAGCTGATGATACCCTATCCCTGAGATTAAGATGAAAAAATACTACCTCCAGCTGACTCTTGATGGCCTGATTCATGGGACCATCCACGCAAGCTGAAATACAATCGATATTTGCCCGACTATATAAAGCATACAAGAGTGACATGTAGCCAAGAGCTAGGTGATATAGCAATAGCAGCTGGGGTTTATCATATTTGTTGCTGCAAGGCATCACAGTCTTGCCCCAGTACTCGTCATGTACGCCCATACCCATGGAACTGCTTTACCAACAAAACATAAAGGTGGACCAAAGACGGACAAGGGTCAGGAGACAGCCATATTCCTTGCACTAAGAAATGACACATTTTCAGCATACTGAGTGCTTTGAGTGACCTACACTAAACAAACCTGGGTTCATGATCAATCGATCACAGCAACTCGAAAGGAGATTACTGAACACTTCCTCTCATAGCTCCAGGGGATGACCCTTGGAGGGAATACCACTATCCCCTCTATATATGCAGTGAATCATGTGTGTATCTGCATGAAACTTTACGATATGCAATCATATCACTGTTATGCAGTACAAGGGAGGGCCTAGCCGTCCGGATATCTTGCATTGCCTTTCCCGTGGTGACCTAAGGTTGCATCAAGCATGCACACACCACAACTGAGATTGGTTTATGCCAGCTGTCAACATGAGGCCTCGCCTCAACGCAAACGTGAAATGATGACTGGAAACACAACCCTTGAACTCCTTCAACTCTCTAGCAGACTCCTATTAATAGGCAGATGCACAGCCAACAACTACTACGATTCAGCCGCGCGGGGCTGGACAAGCTTAAGCGACCGTTTACTGCGTACCCGTAGTGGTTCAAAGTCAATTACGGCGGTGTTAATAAATGGATGCTCGGAGTTGTCAGTTTTAACTACTGGTCAATGCCGGAAAACAAGCAACTATGGACCCCTGCGCATCCGTCATGTTAAGCGAAGACTAATCAACACCTCTATCAATATCTATTATTGACTGCGTGTATGCACGTATTTAGGTGATCATGTCCATGCTGGTCCCTCATGGATTTTTACCTCCGCCATTGTTAAATTGACCAGATCGCTGCAAATAGATCATGCAGATTCCTCCACCATTATTACCGGGCGAATTATCAACCAGTGCACAGAGTACAGAAAGAGCAAGAGGAAAGAAAATAAGAAACAGAGTTTAGGTAGGATCCTCGTCGAAAGGGGGGACCAGGCCTTGTCAGCTACACGCATCTAGATCCTGGTATAACGTGCTGTTTAATGATTCTCTATCCCTGCTTGATCCGTTTAGGGAATATGCAGAGAGTAGTTTGATTCGACGACGTGCAAAGAACCATGGGTATGTGCACAATAACACGAAGAGGGAAGAGTCCTACTTTACATTATCTTCAGGTGCTGGGCTCGGAGGGCTTCTTTTGCACATTTCTTTCCCTTGCTGGGCAGTGTATGTATAGCGAGATGGAGAGCCAAATATAAAAAAAAAAAAAAGAAAAGAAAAGAAAAAGGCTAGAAGGTGAGCAACTAACTCTTCCACCCTCCATGCAGAGATTTGAAGTGAAAAAAGAAGGCTCACAGTGGCAAACCCCCATCTCCGCTCCCTAGTTGTTTTCTCGAATCAGAAGAAGCGAGTGACAGCCAACCCTGCAAGCAACAAGTGAGACTGCTTCTTCACCTCGCTCGTCCGACGCTCCTGTGGCTCCATCGAACTAGAATAGCTCCCTAGGTAGGTCCGTATGTATGCTCCCTGGCGAGTCAATAATCAACAAACAACCTTGCGTGCATAGCCGGTCCCGTGATATCAACTTCACCTCCAGCCTTCCTTACCACGGCCGCTTCCAGACACCCCCTTTTCGCTGTTTTTGGTGCATATTGGATTTATGCAGAGAAAAAAGGCCGATGATAGATGATAGACTTCCCTCCTCCATGTGCATGTCATTGCAGTAAAGGTTACGGAACGAGGAATAGGGTTCAGCCTTGCTCGCCAGCTTGCTAAAAAAAGGTCCAAACCAGGACGGTCTCAGTGCTATGGGATTTTGGCTGCCTTCAGGGAGTCGAGGAGCGAAGTCGAGATGGCCATGCATCGATGCAGCATTTTTATCCATCGACTATCGATAGACAGCGTTGAGCCAAAGCTCTTGGACGGTTTAGCTCCACCGTTAAGTTGAGCGAGTGAGCGAACTAGTTCAAATTAGTTGGCAAGCTGGTGGACAAACTAAACCAGAGAAGGGCAAAGCAGAGAGCCAAAAGCAAAGGTTAGCTAGCTCGGGCATCGCCCTCCTGCGTTGCCTGTTGTCCCTACAGCCATCCAATAGGCAGAAAGACCGATTGTGAACTCCCCATCGAACTTGAACCGAGAGGCAAAGCAATCATGCAAGTTAACAGCACACGGAGCACGGAGACCAGGCAAAAGAAAAGAAGCAGACAAAAGAGGGACCGAGGGAAGAGAAGAAAAAAAAAAAACCCCTCCCATGCCATGCGGCTATTTCCAGATTTTCCAGCTGATGTGGATGAAGAGGCCCGCACCGCATGTATGGATAAGTTATAGTTAACTATATGCAATCGCGCATCGTGCGGAGGTTTGCCTCGTTCCCTCGCTTATACAAATGTGGTACGGAGAACCCTTGACTGGAAACGGGGGGGCAGCACAGGCCAGGCAGGACAGGATGGTTATCCGCCAGTTGCTTTAATATTGAACGAGTGACCTACTCCGTATATCGATGTGAATGGAATATGCTGTACGTACATACACTGTCAGCAGGGCCGTGCAGGACCATGGGTGTTGATTCGGACAAAACCGTGTGAGAATGAGCAACTTGTCGGCCTGGATGTCTGTCTTTTTCCAATGCATCCCAACCCCTCCCTCTATCGGCGCACGAGCGTTCTTGAAGATAAATATCTTACGAGATGGGAACAGGGATAAAGCATTATGTTAGCAGAAGGAAAAGAGAGAGGGAGAGAGAGAGAGAGAAAAGAAAGGAGAAAAGGCCATGCGACGAGACCCCCCCTGCAGATGAACTATTTTTCCGATGTTTCTATTTATACCGAGCAAAACTCGTTAACGAATGACATGCACAGGTTGACATCTCACTCTCATTGTTGAAGAATCATCGAATTTTCGGCCTTGATCTGAGCACGAACCGGGACACTGTTTCTTTTCCTGTGCTGTCCTCGTACCTGTTGGGGAATGTTCCGAGACGGAGGTCGGCAGGTAACGTAACTACGTACTCTCCCTGGTTCGATGTAATCATCAATCAGGGATGTGATTGCGTTTCACCGCAGTATCACAAGAAGGTGAAGAGTTGAGAATGAGAGAGAGAGAGCCGTGATGTGATAGATGTCTAACTAACTAGTCAACTAGTTTATCAAGTTATGCAGTGCCCCCTGTTTTAACTATCTTGACTCTGCCACGCTGCAGCCAGACAGAGAGGAGAGGAGGGACTAACCAACAACCTCGACAACCTTGATCGGAAGCCCAAGGGAAACTTCCGGCATATCCTCGGCGGCGGTAAAAGAAAAGAAGAAAAAGAGAGACAGTAAAAAAAGAATGGGCTGGTTTGGCTTTGTTGGGATTGCAAGCAAGCAGGCAAGAAAGCAGGTGGGCGAGCGAGCCATCTACTAACTAGATAAACTAACCCAACTGGCTAGTTAACATGTCATGCCCTGAGCTGAGGCGTCTTTTCTCCTCTCCGACAGGGCGTATCTATCTTCTGCATTTGGAGGGGGGGGGGGGAGGCATGCACAGCTCCATGTGTTTCCTATTTTTGTTTTCTCCAGATGAAGACCGAGACACACTGCATGGCATAATAGCATTGCATAGCACAGCACATCACCAACACACAGCAAACCTACCTAGCTCTAGGATGAGCCTATCGGGTACAGCCAGCCAGAGAAGAGAGCTCGTATTGTTTCGGCGGTTGCGTTACACAAGGAGTTGACTCCATGGATGGGGATTTGCCTAGCTGGCCATGTGGACGGAGGCGGAGAAAAGAGGAAAAACAAAGAGAAGAAAGACAGGGGGGAGAAGAAGAGAGAGCGCCCCCCTGCATCCGCATGCTCTTGCGCAGCGTGGACATGACATGTGGTAGAGCAGCGGGCGGGCATATGTGCAGTGCATGTATATGTCAGATGTATAATTCGAGGGCGACTTTTGCTGCAGAGGGCGGAGGGGGGCGAGGCATCAACTAAAGAGAGAAAGGAGAGAGAGTACCTACTCTGTACACCTGATATGGAGGTGACATGGCAGGTATTGTTAGTATTGTTTATTATCTGGATGGTTATATAGCTGGCACTCCTGACGTATCTCATCTCGTCTCGTCTATGCCTCAGGACGCAAGACGCAAGCAGCTAACTAGCAGAAAACAAGGTTAAAAAAAAAAAAGGCGTAATTGACTAATTTCATACTTAGAAGAAGGAACCCTAGCAGAGCGAGTGTAAATGAAAGTTGGGCGATGAGATTGAGGCTCTAGAGGAGTCAGAGCAAGGAGACAAGGGGACGCCCTTTAATAACAACGCTGCTAGAAGGACTAAGGGCAAGAATCAAGCTAGGTTAGTGTTATTATTATTTAACTATCAGATGCTTTTCTCATCTTTACCCGAGGGTACGGGAAATCACTCATAAAAGTGAAAAAAGGAAAGAAAAGGGGGAGGGGATAACTAGTTACATGAAGGGGAAGGATTTGAAAAAAAAAGGACGACAAGAATCTGATCAAAGCATATTAACTTGCAATATTAGTTAAAATTAAGAATATTAAGAAGGATAAGTCGAATAAACCTGTCCAAAAAGACTGTTTGCTCTGCCCAGTTCGAGCCCTTTTTTTTGAGGCTGG